CGAGGAATCGTTTGAAGCAGGCGCTGTGCTCAGTGCAGCCACGATTCTCAGTAGAGGTGCAGGGTGGTGCCCGGGTCGCGGAGGGATGGATCAACACGGGGCAGTCGTCCTCTATCCTTCTGATGCTTGCACAAAGGGATGCACCGCTCGAAGACATCAAGTACTCAAAAATAGCGATTTATATGTGATAAGTGAGTATCAGTCAACGTGGCAATCGTTATCAGTTTTGAAAAAGTTGAGGAGCCCACTCAGGTCATGGCATTCGTAGCCTTCCTTACCAATGAGTGGCATGAAATTCCGGTATAAGTCCCTAGAGAATCGCAATGGAAAGGTTAGTCGATGTAGGTGTTTCTCCATGTGAATCAACATAGTTTTCAGCTTTATATTGATCGTATGTATTGATTGGTGATTACTTGGGTGATTTTATGAGTTGCTTAATAGTTGACTACATGTTTGTCCATAACCTGAGCTGTGTTTCAGAAGACGTCGCGGCAAGGTACTCGACGGAATATCGTCGTTGTCTGCTCGACGGCCATGATGTCGCAATGTCAGCTGGCTAAATGGTTCTTTCTATTCATCTATTTCTCTATCGCCGGCCTTTATACGAGGGCAGTAGTCGCGTATACGCATGACTTTGTCACGAGGTACTGTGCTAATATATACTCCTTAGTAATCATTCAATTTTACAAGGTTGCTTTTGTTATTGCCCTAAAACGTGCACTTGGAAGATGCACGCTTTCGACGCGCCGTCCATGTTCACTAGTACAAAATCCATGGTTTGAGTGCGTTTTCTTGTCACTGCAGAGGATTTCTGATATCAAATTTTCGTATTCATACTTCATGCCAAACTTGTCGGAGGATTCGTGAAATAGTTTCGATAGCTTGTGATCGGAGAACTACTTTGACTTCTTAAAGGCAGTTGGCACGATAATTTGGTTCTAGGTTTAAAATGGCATCAGAGGCGCTACGCAGAAGAGAAATGACAAAAAGCGAGGTGAAACGGTCAAAAACCCGTAGAAAAGGCTTTATTCTGCACGAGTCAGATTGCAATTTCAGACCAGTTTTCCGTTGGCATTGTGCCAATAACCGCTACAGTAGACACGAAAGCCTGTATACCCTAGTTCGCTGCGGACGGTTGGGCGTGTCAGGCAGTATGAGTGTGTCACGCCGTCAAAGCCGTTCTCTGCCTTCTTGTTGAAGCGCGCATGCGACAAAAAGTGGTAGAAAACGAGTAATACGAACGATATGATACAGTCACTTGCTCGCTTTAACAACTGGTGGAGAACGGGTTTGGCATCGCGCCAAACCCATCCCGCCTGACACACCCAACCGCAGCGAACTACACTATCCTACTCTATATAATTCACTAAGTATGTCTGTCTGTGTGTGTATGTTTGTGTGTGCGTCTGTCTGTGTGTCACGAAATTCATAGCGCCGGTCCCAGTAGCAGTGAGACATTGATTTCAAGAAGTGATGTAGGCGGTGTGACGGGAACACTATTGGTGGGTGACAGGAAGTGATATCAGTTGATAAGATCCGATAAGAGGCGTTAGAAGGGGGAGGTCACCATATTCATAACGCGGGTGACAGCAGTAGCAGGACGTTAGTTCCGAGGTACGATATAGGGTACCAGCCGGCTTCGCCGGCTGACTCCGGCGCGCCTCCTAGGATACTGCGCGGCTCCGCCGCGCTTTCCTTCTTCCACACATTAGCCGCCTAGTATCAGGCTCTTCTTTTACCCGAACAGGTGGTCAACATTCTTTGACCAATAGCATCATACCTGCTCCTTTCAACACTATTACGGTGTATGGAGTGGTGGTAAGGAGCGTTGATCAAGTGGACAGATGAGAGAAAAGCCGGGTATTAGTCGAGCATTTGATCGTACGAATGTAGGTAGGCGCGATGGAGCCACGCCCCGCAAAGCCGGGTCACATAGAGGTCCGAAGTGCCTGGAGTGCTCTGGAATCGCTTGAAGAATTTTTGAGGCTGGCCCCGCTCACCTTGACGCACGCTCCACACACAACAGCATTCGGTCGCCTTAAAGCGTCTTGCTTTGGAATGCACTCCCTTCAGCAGTGGAACGCGTTAAATGGCCCTCACTAAGGTTGTTGATGGAAGATAATTGTGGTAAGCGTGATTAAGTGAATTGATGCTGTTCATAACATCTCTGTAAACAAACCCCATGCATTTGGAATAGAGCTAGCTTAGCGGTCGTACATGATGTCGTTACTAATAAGCAGTGAGGAATGAGTTCTGTTGGAATCATTGAGATCGTTATACTTGAGTCATATCGATCGCATTGTTGTTGTGAGCGGTGAAGCGGATTTTCCCATGTTACCTTGTCACTTTCAGCTCCTATCACTTCCGTCCCACCAATAACACTCCCGTCCCGTGCAACAGCAAAGGGTCATCAAATTCGTAACGCAGGTTACAGCAACAGTGGTTTCTCGGATCCGAGGTCCCACTGTTGCTGTAACCTGCGTTACGAATTTGATGACCCTTCCCTTCCGAAGCCGCTTATCGTATCTTATCAACTGTTATCACTTTCTGTCACCCGCCAATATGTTCCCGTCCCACACCCTATATCACCTCACGTATCTGAGGTCCCACTGTTGCTGTAACCTGCGATACGAATTTGATGACCCTTCCGTTCCGAGGCTGCTTATCGTATCTTATCAACTGTTATCACTTTCTGTCGCCCGCCAATGATGTTCCCGTCCCACACCCTATATTACCTCTCTCGGATCCAAGGACCCACTGTTCCTGTGAGCCGCACTGTGAATTTGGTAGTGCTTTCCCTTCTAATGCCCATTATCAGATCTTATCAGCTGATATCACATCCTGTCACCTACCAATAATGTTTTCGTCCCACCCCCTATTTCACTGCTCGGAACCAACGTCCCACTGCTGCTGTCACCCGCGTTATGAATATGGTGACCTCCCCCTTCTAACGCCTCTTATCGTATCTTATCAGCTGATATCACTTCCTGTCACCCACCAATTGTGTTCCCGTCACACCGCCTACATCACTTCTTGAAATCAATGTCTCACTGTTACTGGGACCGGCGCTATGAATTTCGTGACACACAGACAGACGCACACACAAACATACACACACACTTACAGACATACTTAGCGGATTATATAGAGTAGGATGGGACAGGAACGTGAACGGTGGATGGCAGGAAGTGATATCAGTTGATAAGGTCTGATGAGAGGCGCCAGAACGGGAGGGGCACCGAGTCCACAGCGCGGGTCACAGCATGAGTAGGACGTTAGTTCCAAGGTATGGTGTAGGCTATGGCATACGATTATTATTGGTGGGTGACAAAAAGTGCTAGCAGCTGATAAGATTTGATAAGGGGAGTTAGAATGGGAAGGTCACCATACTTATAACGCGGGACACAGCATCAGCTAGGCGTTGATTTCAGAAAATGATATAGAGTGGAGATGAGAACATCGACGGGTGACAGGAGGTGATAACAGCTGATAGGGGCTGATAAGGAGCGTTGCCGTTGTTGTTCAGTCAAAGTGTTGGGGCCTTTACACTACCAAATTATAGAGTTTTAGTGATAGGAAACTAATGACGGGTGACAGACAATCTTATCAATTGATAAGAAAGGATAAGGGGCCATTATCATTACATCTCCTACCACTATACTGCCAAGTATTGAAGGATCAGTGTGCAAACTTCTCCTTAAGCCATCACTTCTCTGATAGCACTAACTAGCACTATATAATGTCGATGTCGACGAGCGGGGGGTATATAGTTCGCGTGAAACAAAACCCTAAATAATGAGGACCATATGCGTTTATTAGCTTTTTTACCTTCAACCTTTCAATTACTGATGAGAACGAATAATAAGGGAGCATAATACCTACAATTATTTGTACTTCAGCAAGCGGGTTGCATGGTAATTGGGAAGGGTTAATCGGTAGGCATTTTGGTGCAGTTGATGAAGATGGAATTTGTTCTTCTACTGAGAGATTCATATTGCTCTGTATAAGCGCAAATATAAGCGTGTGCTTAGGAAAGCAGGATCCGCAGCGTTGCTCTATCTGTTACGATTCGATCACTACAGCGCTGTATGAGCAGCCCACTATCAAAAAAGTTGCGTTTCAGTTACGGCGAAGCCGAGCTAAAGAGGAGGAGGAGAGCTCAGGCGTCAGCCGAGCGATCCGACCGGTACTCATATATCCATGCAGCACCACACTCGCTTCATATCAATCCTTTCACCTTCATATTGTACTTCGCAAATGAAGCGATACGAGCATCAGGATCGGTCGGATTTGTGGGCGGGCGGGCGCGGTGGGCGTCCGGGTCGGTATGTTGCAGCTTGATAGGGCGCTATAAGGGTACCTTCCTTGAGGAAGGACACGCAGCGCTTTCTGAAGGGCGCCGAATTCAGTCCTGCTGCGCATTAGTCCTACACTCTCAGAGATTTATCTTGCAAGCTGCCTTTAATTCAACGAATTCCCACAAAGATATAATAAGTAATGATTAAGCCACGAAAAAGGTCCTTGTCTGATTTTAGTTTGATAGCTACTGCTCAGTATCGCAGTATGCGCTCCGACAGTTCTCATAAGAATGCTAAGTTATGAGCAAAATTCAGACCTCGGACAGGACTCGAACCTGCATCCCCGGTCGCCTTATCCATCATTCTACTGAGGCTACTCCTACTCTCTGAGCTCAATGGCATCTTGTGCCATGGCCTTTCAGCACTCACTGTCTAACGTGATGAGCTGGTTAGCCGATATCGGCAGTGAACCGCAAGGCCGAAGGCTTTTACATGTTTTGAAGCTGTTTAGTTTGATAACTGCTGTTTAACGCCGCAGTGCGTGCTCCAAACGTTATCACAAGAATGCTGAGTTATGGGCTCTTGTCTGGCTCATTTTTCAGGAATTTTGAATGTGAGCAGCACAAACCTACCAATCGCTGTGGGCCTAGTTTCTCGAAAGACATCCTTTTAGTGAATTCTCCACTTTTACCAGAACGTCCAATGGGCCCTGCGATCCTACCACTACTTTGCATACATTTCCTTTTTCTCGATTTTGAAATACTTCACTTCTTCGCTGTGTCCAAATTCGGCCCTAAAGGCACCCTTCCAGAAACTCCGCCAGGACAGGTTTCTGAGTGGTTTCTGAAGTTCAAAATCAATACCTTCTTATTACACGTGTGGAGTGTTGGCATATTTAAAGGCTGAATCAGTTCGATTATTGCTCCAGAATAGAAAACGGTTCCCAATTTTTTTGCTCTGACCCTACTTCTTGAATGAACGATCTTGAATTCTTTGCAACAATACGAAAACCCGCTCGTTGCAAAATAGGTGGGATGCATGGTTGAATCAGCGGAAGGTCGTGGAAACCGTCCACGCTGATCATTTAGTCGTGGGCAATGCCTACAATGGATCCGCCAGTGTTAAAGACAGCTCCCGCGATAAAAGTCTCATGGATAGCTGCTTTCCAATTATGAAACAGCAGCTGATAAGTAATCTCCCAAAGAAGAAAACAGGCAAGAAGCGTTCTCCAGAACAACATAAACAAAATCGCTCCCTCACAGTTACACCTCCCTGCGGTCTCTGTGCAGCCCCTAGCTCACAAATCTATCACATCTCGCAGTAGTTGATATCATCTAGTGCAAAAAAAGAATACAAAAAGAAAACAACAAAAACGCAGAGGAAAAACTCTGGGAAGGAAAAAGGAATTTTATCAACACGGTGTCTGAATTTGTGATTACGGTAGCGCACCTTTTGTGCGTCGTGGTTTTGCATCACGAAAATTGCGTCACTCGTGTTTTTTACGCGTTTCACCTCGCGAAATGGGTTGAATTGAATGTATATACCTCCAATGAGTAAACTGTAATGAAGGAGAGCAGAATTATCCAGGGGCATTAGCAATGCCCGCCGCCCCAACTAAAGGAAAAGTGAGTGGCGCTCCGTACGGAGGACATCTAGCAATAAAGGGTCCGACGACGGAGGAGTTAGAACTAGCACTTTGAGCGGCTATAGCAGCCTCCACGCTCACAATAGAGTCGCGAAAGGTGAACAGTCTTCTAGCTTGGAGGCTAGACTACTTGCACAGCAAAGGCGACCACGAGCCACTTTGATCGCGGGGCTGTCTTTAATGTGATTACTGCGCTCTATCTGTCAAAACAGTTAGGGAGAGATGCACTAATGACGAGGCGTGGTGGAAGTCCTGCCTACCTGACCAGGGTGGAATATGTCCATGGAGGCTTTTCCAACAGCTGACCACGAACCTTACCTTGTTTTTTCCAAGTAGATTGTTTCCGGATGAAATAGATCGTTTTCAGGCAGCCGCTACCGGATATCCTGTTCTCGTTGTTTCCCGAGCAAGAATGGGCCTCTCGGCTAGGCGACTACATGGTGCTGGCCACAGTCATCTGCTTCTGCCTTCTGCTCGTGTTTCATCAATCGCGAGCAATTGTCGCTCGCCGTTTCATGTTCATTGGTGCAACACTTTACGCTTTCCGCTCCGTTACTCTGCTCATCACTCAGTTGCCGCCAGGTTCGTAGATTCGTCGTTAGATAGCAGTAAAGTAGTGTCTACCACTTTTCGTGACAAAACGTTTACTGTGTGGACCCCTGCGGCGGTTTTAAGCGGAACCAAGAGGTTGGAAAAGTCGAGAGCAATAAAGCCATCTAACGCGTGCACAGTATTTGATCGCATCATTTGCTGCTCATTTGCGCCCTTTGAAAGAGGTAGTATTAGGTGTGTTTCGCAGACAAACAGGAACTCACAACTAGTCTGCTTTTTCCCCCACACCCTTCTCTACCTTCAGCGCTGTCAACTTCATAGTTTTTTTTCTTGCAGAAATGGAGCTTTGAAACTCAGGCTCAAGTTGGTTGTTTCATTACAGGTTACGAAAACAACGCCATGCGATGCCGTGAACAAGTGAATATCACCTTCAGCGTTTTTCTTTCGAGGGTCATTGAGCAAGCAATTCGAGCCGGATTCCAGGTTAGTCAACCATTATGTCTCCTCTACTTCTGTCCCTTTGGCGGCCGTGTTTGCTGGCTTGTTGTCCCGCGCGGAACTTCAGGAAAAATCCCATATTGCCACCCTTGCCATCAGGCGCAATCATCAGTTTGCGATAATTACTATGAAAGAAGGCTTTTGATTGTGGCGATCACCTGCAGGGTATTTTATTGGATTGATGATTGATTTTAAATCAAATTCTGCGGTGGTTCGATGGACGGAAACCCGTAATCATAGAGCCTTCTTGATTAATGCGGTAAAGAGGGAGTCGTAGGTCAATGACGTAGAGCAGGTTTATGAATTGCCGTCTATTTATCCACCCATAAATTATTGCGGAACATGTCTACCATCTTGAAGAAGTGAGCAGCCCATGTTTAGAAGGAATCGGTACACAAGGTAGAAACACGTTACGTGGGCCAGCCTCTTTGTGTCTCACAACGGGGGGATAAAAGCTCAAAAGGGACGATGTAGATGACAATAAATAGAACTAGGCACTATCGAACTATTCCTAGGCCAAGAACTAAAAAAATATTGCTGAAACTTTTTCCTCCTTCCTCACAAAAAACTTCAAGACACTTCGCCCACCAACCCTCCTCATCTGGTCTAGATAAATCCCAATCCACTAATCCGCAAAATCTAGAAAAAAATCCATTGCAAAAGCTACCTATGAAACCGTAGAAATTGAATCCTGAGCAATTTCCTCACAACAAAATCAAACTCAACAAAACAAAATCAAACTCAACAAAACAACAGATCAAAATAGTTCACCAATCAAATGGAATAAAGAAAATTAAGGCCAGGCTGGGAACCGGAACTATGGATTACTTTTGAATTTTGGCTGTTCGCGGTCAGCGCGCTCATACAAGCTCATTGGTGCGCGCTATTTTACGGCCTGGAGCCAATTTCAAGCCAAACACGTGAAAAGTACCCCTCATTTGAACACCCATAACTTCGTTGAAAGTGAAGCTATCGGAGAGGGGTAAGTGGGAATGAGCTAAGCGATAAGGTTGTGCTGGTCACTTGAAGTTGAAGGGCGATTTCGAAAAACGTTCCGAATTCCAGAGATTTTCCCCGTTTTTGTTGATCATCTTTTGTGATCCCGTCCTGTGATACATTTTTTTCGGCGAATCGCGCGAGTCGCTAGCTTTGGACGTCGCAATGGCAAGCTATCATAGCATGGGCCTTTCGTAAAAAAAAAGAATTGTGCCGGGCCGGAAGCTTGAAGATTTCTACTTTCCAGCAAGGCTTTAATTTTCTTCCTAGGCCTGCTATTCGAAAAAATTCCCCGTTGTGATCATTTCGTGACCACCCCCCCACGACACGAAAAATCAGCCCCTCCGAGGCCATGAAACCTCCAGTTGGCTTGAAGACTTTGGTATGCTTCTAAAACACATGTTTTCGCAAAGGGTATCAGGAAATAGGCCATTGGGCGCCAATTGGCATCACCTCTGCAATGCGCCATGCATGGGGCTTTCACGCAGGTGTTTGGAAGGTGTAACTTCTAGATAGGGCTTCCCAATTGCAAGCAAATGTGCTCCTGTAATCAGAAAAGTCCGGGAATGTACTTTCATCTGTTTATTAATCGTCACGTCGTGAAACCTTTTTGTTTTATAAATTCATGGTGGCCCTTGTGGGCGGTGATCGTAGCTCCTATCATCGCCCCTTCCTCGTACGTATTGTCAGTATGCTACACCAGCGCCAGAGTGCTGGACGTGCTTGGGACGTACGTAGGTACTGCGACCTCCCCCTCCCCCCCCCCTCGCCCGCTCGACAGCCAGAAATTTTTTGGGAAAAATAGACAAAGTGGTAGGAGGTTGGAAAAATCTAGGGAAGAGGTAACATGGGGAGGGGGGTCGTACTTGAAGATGGAATTAGGGGGTCGTATTTTTCAGGAAATGATCGAATGGTGTGCGCCTGGTTTACGTGGCTTGAGGGGCGCTCTCTGCAGTGGGTTAAGTGAGACATATCTGCTCGTTTGCATTCTCTCACCATGACAGCCGCTCTAATTGTAAGATGACTTACTTGGTATCAGAGTATGTCCACGGCCTCTTGTTGTGCAAGTCTCTCAAAAAGCATGGCGTGGTTCTGTGCTCTAGAAAGCGAGGTGTTTAAGGGTTGCTGGCTGCTGGCCGACTGGCCTTCCAGAGGCACATATTGTCGATAGAAAACTTCTCAAATAAGAGATTTCCCAGTGTTGTCGTGAAACAGTCTGGACCCTTAACGATATCCAACTACACGAGTTGCTTTTCTAGCGTTTATAAGGCGGAAATCGAAACTCCATAAAGCGGAAGTCGCTAATTTATTGAGAAATCCATCTTTTCGGCGCAGTTCCGGGGACAGCGATCAAAGTGGTTCTTCATCTCTTCAATACCTTTTGTAAAGGACCAATGGACACAAGTGAGACATCGCAGATGGAGGATCCTCCGTCATGATCTGAACCTCTGGATTATTTGCAGAGAACATGGGATATCGGCTAACCAGCTCATCACGTTGAACGAGTGGGTGCTGCTAAGGCAAACGGCAGCACAAATAGCCTTTGAGCTGAGAGTTCAAAAGTGGCCCCGGTAGTGTAGTAGGGAACGCAACTGCCATAAGCGGAAGATGCGGGCTCGAATCCCGTTCGTTGATCGGCCTTTTGCCGCCCTTCGTTCCGACTTTCACAACTCCAGCATTCTTGGTGAGAGAACATCTGTTCGCTCCTGATCAAGCAAGATCATCGAGTGTGAGGAAATGGATGGTGGTCAGTATCATAGATAGCGGTCGTAGGTACCTACCCCCAGTGCAGGCTTACCACTGGCGACCCACAACATTTGCACCTGCGTTCACAAAGGCCTGCTTTGAGAATTGTATGGCAGCCCACGGGGGCTAGAAACCTGCCAATTATCTAGAAACAGATAATTTTGACGCATCGCCTAACATAGGAGAGATTATATTTCACAATCCTTGGACGGGAAAAAAGATCCTCTTCCTCTATTGGGAACTTCCCGACAATGGTCGACATTGATGCGCGCTATTACTGAAATCTTCCCGACCAGATCTCATTGAGGGGATTGCGTTCGAGTGGAAAGAAAATTTTAGATGGTAGATTTCTCCCGTTTCCGTTCACGCGAGCCATATCGCTCCCTTTCCCGTTGTAGACGAAATTTTGGAGAATAGACCAGTGTGAATAGGTAAATCATGGGATGGGGTGAGAAAGGGTGTCGTTGGAAAGAAAAGGTGTCGGAGCAACTTGGGTGGGGGTCGCATTTCGCAGACATTTCCCACAAGGTGATGGTGCACCCTGCTCCCATCCAAAGCTTCCTAGCCGTCTTTGCGACTGGATTAAAGAGCACGCACTCAAAGATAGCCTTGTACCTCTCTGACTGGCTTCTCTACCTTCTTTCTTGGACAGGGCTTGTGCTCCACGAAAATTGCGTCCTGCGCTCTATATAGAACAAGCGATAGTGTTGGTTTTTGCAAAAAGTGATGACTGCCGGTTCAGTTCCGCATAAGGGGAGGCCTGTTAATATTCATGCATTTTGTGAACAAAAACTGTCATAAATACAACAATATGTGCGAGCAATGAATTCGATACGTGAAACGGGGCCTTGAATTTTTGGTGCAATAGGAATCTCTCCCAGCGGGAATCTACACTCCTTATCCCTGAGTCAGAGTAGGCGTGGCATTTGAACATGGCACGGAACTGGTTACTCGTGGAATATTCCAGTCTGGGACAACTGTCATCTTGTTCTGTGTTGGACAGAGACAATTGTGTCAAGATGAAAATATCTCACCAGAAGCATAGACACCTTCAGGTTAAGTTGAAACATGCGGCCACGCCTACCCGATCTCAGGGATTTCGAGTATATGTAACAGCCATACGAAATATTTAAATCGTGAAGGACTCTTTTTTGAAAAAAGGGGGAAGCAAAGCATGGTTTCAAGTTTACCAAAACTTATGATTCTGAGAGCTGGGCTGCAGCCGTCAATAATGTAAACTGCATTCGCATCGAGCCAGCGCTAACAAACCCGTTTTGGGATATCTGGGCCGGGTATCTGATTTGCGCTTCTTGTCGTGGCAGCACCTGGATACATGCTTGGCATGTACAACAGCTCGCAAGAATGGGTGTAGTTCAGGACATCCGATGTTAGGTATCGCGCGCAGAACAGCACTGCTTGCTAGTTGATTCCACATGCCACCACGGCGTCAAGTCCCTTAGGTTAAGGCAGCCTACATCCTGTACCAGTACCATGCAGAATAAGCGCTTTTCTGCATGGTCCTCTTGCAAAGCGCTGTAGCGTAGAGAGCTAAAGG